AAAAGGGGAGGTGCTACATACTTTTAAACAATCAGATCTGGTGAGAACTATCACAATAATGGCAAGGGAGAAATCTTCCCACATGATCCAATTACCTCCCCCCAGGCACCTCCTCCAATACTGGGGATTACAATTAGACATAAGTTTTGAGTGGGGACACAAATTCAAACCATAGCATAAGGTTAATGTTAAAAGTCAATTGCTTTCCTATATACTAGCAATGAAGAAAATTGAAGCTTGAAATTTAAAATACAGTGCTATTTACATGAGTACCACAAAAATGAAATATGTAGGCATAAAGTAAACAAAATATGTACAAGATCTATATGAGGAAAACTTCAAAACTTTGATGAAAGAAATGAAACAGAGTCATCTGCCCTGCAGCTGCTGCCAACACCACAGCCACTGCCACCCCTTTCAGACTGTGGATGGGAGGATGGGGTTGATGGCCACTGACAATGGGGACAGGCTGGGAGTCCCAGCGGGCTCAGGCATTTCAGATTCCTAGCATCGTGCCGAGCTGTGTCAGAGAAAGCTGCTCATGAACGCAGAACAGCACATCAACCGGATCACGGCCTTTGACAGGCCCGGGAGAAGAAAGTAAAACAAAATCAAAGCAGCAGGACAGTGATAAACTGAACTCCCTCAGCTTTCCTTCAGTGTCAAAGCGAGTAGTGCTGGGTGATTTGGTCAGTACAGGAACAACTGGTCAGCAGGGTGGTTTGGCTAAGCTAAAGGGGACCCAGCTGGGAGACAAATTGGACTCTTTCATTAAACCATCTGAGTACAGTAATAATGATGTCAACCTTGAGCTCCAGCAGTGGAACTGAGGGGACCTGACAGTGGACATGTTCCAGAGGGGTTCTCGCCATGGACTAGAGCAGTACCTTTCCAGATTCGAAGAAGCAATGAAGCTGAGGAAACAGCTGATTTGTGAAAAACCCAATCTCTACTAAACCCTATCTCTACTAAAAATTCAAAAATTAGCTGGGTGTGGTGGCAGGTGCCTGTAATCCCAGCTACTTGGGAGGCTGAAGCAGGAGAATTGCTAGAACTCTGGGGGTGGAGGTTGTAGTAAGCTAAGATTGCCCACTGCACTCCAGCCTGGGCAACAGAGCGAGACTCTTGTCTCAAAAAAAGAAAAAAAAAAAAAAGGGAGAGAACTGCATTGGTCCAAGCCACCCAGAGAACTGTCTTGCAAGCAGCATTAAGCTGATTTCTATTATATCCAAGGAGTGGCTCTTACTGGCTCTTGTGTCATACAGAAGGATTTGGCGAGCCACAGTTATGAGCAAAATCCATGTCTTCAAGATGAACCAGATGGGTACCATGTTCATAGAAGCCAGGATCCTGGAAACCAGGAACCTGTAGACATCTTATTGATGACAGTGGTGGCCTATCTGGAGTGGCTGCTGCCATCACACTGGCTGCAGCAGGGAGGTGCAGCTAGCGGGATCTGGAGACAAGTGGAAGCCCTGCTTATTTAGTGTTGGTGGGGCAGGAGCTCCCTGGGTGTAGGTAGCCACAGCTGCCCAAGTCTTGGCTATGGACCTGAGCCTCTTGCTCTATGGAGCAGGCAGGAGCCCTACCCACTCTGGACACAGCCGCAGCTGCCCAAGCTGTGGCTGCAGATCCAGGCATCTTTGCCCCCTTGGGGGCCAGGGAAGGCCCCCCTCACACATTTGAAAATGCTTGCTCCTATTGCCCAGCTTCACCCTGCTGTTTATGCTCTCTCTGATCTTGGAGCGAAGTCTATCTAAGCCTGGGTGCTGTCACAGCCCAGCTGGGTGTGTACATGATTGGGGAAGTGCTGACATGCCAGCTCCCTGCAGCCGCAGGGCCCTCCAGACTTTGGGCCCTGATAAGCATAGGAGGGAAGCCGATGAGAACCTGAGGGCAGCTTGGCACTGGCCTGCAGGCACCCGTTGGCATCTACAGCCTCAGTCTTATTTTGTTTATTTTTCTTTGAAATAGTGTCTCGCTCTCCCGCCCAGGCTGGAGTGCAGTGGCTCAATCTCAGCTCACTGCAACCTCTGCCTCCTGGGCTCAAGCCATCCTCTCACCTTAGCCTCCAGAGTAGCTGGGACTACAGGTGCCATCCACGACGCCCGCTAATTTCCCCCTCCCCCCTGTCCCTCGACCGCGAGAAGGGGTCTCCCTATGTTGCCCAGGCTGGTCTTGAACTCCTGGGCTCAAGCGATCCTCCTGCTTCAGTCTCCAAAAGTGCTGGGATTACAAGCGTGACCCACTGCGCCCGGCCAAAAGAGGGCTTTAGGGCACCCCGGAACTCGAGATGTTCCTCATCTGTCATCTTTAAAGAGGAGGAAGTGTCAACAGATTTACAAGGAAAAAACAAGCCCATTCAAAAGTGGGCAAAGGATATGAACAGACGCTATGAAAAAAAGACATACATGAGGCCAACAAACATGAAAAAATGCTCATCATCACTGGTCATTAGAGAAATGCAAATCAAAACTACAGTGAGATACCCTCTCACGCCAGTTAGAATGGTGATCATTAAAAAATCTGGAGACAACAGATGCTGGAGAGGATGTGGAGAAATAGGAACAATTTTACACTGCTGGTGGGAGTGTAAATTAGTTCAACCATTGTGGAAGACAGTGTGGCGATTCCTCAAGGACCTAGAGATAGAAATTCCATTTGACCCAGCAATCCCATTACTGGGTATATATCCAAAGGATTATAAATCATTCTACTATAAGGACACACGCACACGAATGTTTATTGCAGCACTGTTTACAATAGCAAAGACCTGGAACCAACCCAAATGCCCATCGATGATAGACTGGACAGGGAAAATGTGGCACATATACACCATGGAATATTATGCAGCCATCAAAAACGATGAGTTCGAGTCCTTTGTAGGGACACGGATGAAACTGGAGACCATCATTCTCAGCAAACTGACACAAGAACAGAAAATGAAATACCGCATGTTCTCACTCATAGGCTGGTGTTGAACAATGAGAACACATGGAGGAGAGCGCTACACACTGGGGTCTGTTGGGGGGAATAGCGGAGGGACAGCGGGGGGTGGGGAGTTGGGGAGAGAGAGCATGGGGAGAAATGCCAGATACAGGTGAAGGGGAGGAAGGCAGCACATCACACTGCCACGTGTGTACCTATGCAACTATCTTGCATGTTCTTCACATGTACCCCAAAACCTAAAATGCAATAAAAAAATACATGATATGGCAAATCATAAAAAAAAAAACAAAAAAAAAAAACGGGGAGGAAGTGGACTCCCAATCGAGCGATAGGTAGTCCATTCCTCCCCGGCACGGTGATCCCGCGGGGCGGCCAGGACCAAATGTGTCTCCTTCCAGCTTTTGTAACACACCAAGTAACCTGCGCCAGGTGGCACAGCTGCCCTGGCCTTCCGGGAGGACTCCGGCGAGCGCGGTGCAAGCTGCTGGGGAGTTGAGGCCGCGGATTCCGAGGGCGGGAGGGGCGGAATCAGAAAGAACGCGGACCCCGCGGACCGCACTGCGTGGACGGCGCTTGCGCGCACACTCGGCTATTCACGACTCTTCCGGCTCTCCACTGAAAGTCGTCCACCTGCAGGTTTCTTTTTTCTCCCTTCTTGTTTCCCTCCGGCGAGTCAGCGCGATGGTGAATTTCCGTTTCCGTTGGTTTCCATGCGGACTTGCAGACCTAAGGAGTTGCGATTGTGATCGGGTTCAGTGCCGGGTTGTGGTAGGTGGGGTAAGGTCCCTAGGTCTTGGGCACTGGGAGGCTCACCAGTCGTGCGGGTGGGAAGGTCGTTCCCCTGTCCTCCGGGTCATCTTTGCTCCGGGGGATCGGCATATTTCGCATCTATGGGAGGTGTGCCGGGGTCGTTGGAAGAGTGACGGGGAGTGATGGTGGCAGAGAGACAACGTTTCCTGGAGATGGGGTCCTGGCAGGCGACTTAGACCTGAACCGGATCTGTTGACCCCAAATTGTGCATTTCCCACCAAGAAGAAAGACAGGGAGAGAAAAACATTAGTACAAGTTCGGAACTAAAATGTAGTGGAGAAGAAACATAATGTCTGAAATCACACAGCTGTTCAGTTTCAAATCGTTCCTAGTGCCCAGCTCTCCTAATTTCCGACCAGTGTTCCTTGGATTTCTGTTGATATATACTTAATGGGCCAGGTGGGGTGGCTCACGCCAGTAATCCCAGCACTTTGAAAGGCCGGGGTGTGCGGATCGCGAGGTCAACAGATCAGACCATCCTGGCCAACTTGGTGAAACCCGTCTCCACTAAAAATGCAAAAAAAAAAAAAAAAAAAAAAAAAGCTGGGCGTGGTGGCACTCACCTGTAGTCCCAGCTACTCGGGAGGCTGAGGCAGGAGAATCGCTTCAACCCGGGAGGCGGAGGTTGCGGTGAGCCGAGATCACGCCATCTCACTTTAACCTGAGTAACAAGAGCGAAACTCCATCTCAAAATAAAAAAAAGAAGTATCACTTTGGATTTCCCTCTGCAAGTCAGATCATAGCTGTAATCCATTTACTGGCACAGCGCCTAGCACATCATAGACAGACACAAATATATATTAGATGGAAGTAATACACTACCTTAATTGAATGAGATGGCACCCTGCCCGCTGTTTTAAAAAACAAGCTGTCAGATTTTACGTACCCTGATTTCCGTTATGATGCTCTGCCTTAGTATTTACCTTTTGGTTTTTATGAAAAACTATTAAAATCACTCATAAAACAGTTAGATTTAAGGAGTGTTTAATTTTCAACTCTCTATACTATTGAAGTCATCTTGCTACATCTGATTGAAGAGCAATTATTTGGAGGGGTCCAGAAGTTAACAAACTAATAATTGACAAGTTAATATATTTATATATTCTCTGTTGTACTCTGTAAAATATACTAAAGTACTCTCTGTAAGTATACTAAAAAAAGGTCTACTTAGAAGACTGATACCTTTTACTCTATTTTGAAAGTGAGTTTACCTTTTTTTTTTTTTTTTTTTTAATGAATAGGACTCAGGATTTGAAGACAAAAAGCATTATATTCCAGTGGTTGATCAAACTCTACTAGTGCCCCCACCAATAGTGGTGGTAGTGATGGGGCCTCCAAAAGTTGGAAAAAGCACTTTGATACAAGGCTTCATTCTGAACTTCACTCGGCAGAAGTTGACCGAGATCAGAGGCCCAGCGATGATCGTGTCAGGTAGGAGACGCTGCCACAGACACAGTTGGCGTGGCTGTTGTCATCTGAGGGACATGCATGTGTTTGTTGTTTTCTTGAGTGGAACATATTAAAGATTGTCATATCATGTTAACCTCTCTTATGCTTTTACTAAGTTGGCTATAGCTTCAGAAAAGGATAAGTTCTCAGAGATGAGGATGTGATACACATCTTGCCCTGACTTCCCTATGGCTTTGCCAAGTATGTTCCTTGGAAGGGCCTAGGAGGCCTGGTCACTGTGAATACATCATTTAATAGATAACATGCACCTCCTATGTGCCAGGTGCACATACTTGCACTTATGAAGCCACATTCTGGTGAAAGTGAGAGTTTTCTCTGTTTTCTGTGAGAATTTGTCTGCTTTGGGAGATGGTGACCTTTCCAAGTTTGAGGGAAAATGAAACCACCTTCCAGTGGTAGAATGGCAGTGTACAGTCTGAAATCTTTTGTTATTGCAATAATATAGTTGGATTGAGGCTCTTCTTTATCTTTGGAGCATCCATATGTTTTTTCATTTTTTGAGACAGAGTCCTACTCTATGGCACAGGCTGGAGTGCAGTGGGGCGATTACAGCTCACTGCAGCCTCAACCTCCTAGGCTCAAGCAATCCCCCTACCTTAGCTTCCTGAGTAGTGCTTGCCACTATGCCTGGCTAATTTTTCTTTTCCTTTTTTCCCCCCTGTAGAGATGGGGTTTCCCCATGTGGCCCAGGCTGGTTTCAAAACTCCTGGGCTCAAGGGATCTGCCTGCATTAGCCTCCCAAGGTGCTGAGACTACAGGCATGAGCCACTGTGCCCAGCTCATATTTTCTTGACCGTTTTCTTTTTACTTTAATTTATTATTAAGGTAATCATAACTGATTATTATTATGAATATTCTGTTGCATTATGTTGGAGGATGTTTTCAGCTATAGTGGGAATACGGGAAGTTTTGATAGAGGCGAAGACATTGGCCTGCAGCTGAACAGCAGGATCATGGTTATCATGGAGGCTGTCCAGTCAGGATTTTCTCTGTGTGAGCACTTTTATTCATCTGGGTAGACTTCTGATATTATTTCAATTTAGAACTCAGCAGGAAAACTAGGATGGAATTTATTTTATGTTATCAGTTTTTGCCTATAAAAATGAGCTTCTGATACATGCCTGTAAATGTATATGGTGTTTTACTGGATGCAATTAAAACACGAAAATTAGAGTTGATGGTTAGAGTTTTTTCAGAGTCTTTTTAAAGGAAAATTTTCATCTTTTCACTTATAGGTAAAAGCGCAGACTCACCATTATTGAATGTGGGTGTGGCATTAACATGATGATTGATCTGGCTAAAGTAGCAGATCCGGTAAGTTAGCAGGGGCAGCGTGGGGTGCTGATGGAGACTTACAGCATGTGATAGGTTATTTACCCTGTGAGGAAGGGAAGAGTGTTTTATAATTATTAAAGGAATCATGGTCATCATCAGGGATACATTCATGTGATTGAACTGATGATAATAATAATAATAGTAATAAATGTTGTTACATTAATAATAAAATTGGAATATGCACAATGAAATATATCCCAAAATCTAAAAGCAAATCATCGAATGGAGAAACCTTTAATGAACACAGCTAATAGGAGCTCATTGACATGCATATGTATATATGTACGAATATATTACAGTAAGTACCGTTTCTTCTTGAACGCTTCCTGGCACTGTGCTAACTGCTTTCTACAAATTTAGCTTACATAAACCCTTGATACACCCTTGAGGTGAGTTCGGTATTATCTGTAGTTTCCATAAGATAAAATACAGCCTCCCAGCAGTTAAGTAACTTGTGTGAAGGTGGGACCCTTGTTTCTGATGGTTCCAGAACCTTCATCCTTAATGATAATGCTAAAGTAAGTACATGAATTGCCCTGAAGAAGTGGTCAGAGTTTATCATGCAAAATCCAGACAGTACTCATTGTAAGGAAAATGTACACCGCTTGCATTTATGGAAATGGTAAGGTTCACTATTTCTGATATTCTATTAACTGTCTTTTAAATGAGCAAAAATAAAATACAAATTAGAAAAAAAATAAGCCATATTGATTAGGAAGTGTGGGGTGACAGATACCTTGGTTTTTTCATTTTTATTTAGTTTTTTCTGGACAGCTGTTTGGTGACAGAGGACTACAGATTTTATACTTTGGCTCAGGAAACTCCTAAATGACAAAGTAAAAAGTAATACAGATTTTAAAGATGTGTCATCGTAATGTCAGGAAGCTAAATGACATTCAAATTTTGAACATGTAATGCTGCTGTTAATAAAAATAAGTGTTATTAATGTAGTGTAGGCTTACTAAATCTTGTGTACTTGAAATGATTGGGATGGTTGAAAGAAGTCATTTATTTCTCTTATTTAAAATATAGCACGTTTCTAATTTTGAAGACATACATATTAAGAGATGCCGTTACATTTTTATTTTTAATTATTATGAATACATAATAGTTGTACATATTTATGGGATACATGTGGTATTTTGATAGAAGTATACAATGTGTGATGATCAAATCAGGGTAATTAGGATATCTGTCACCTCAAACATTGATCATTTCTTTGTATTAGGAACATTTCGATTTCATTCTTTTAGTTATTCTAAATTAAAATTATAGCCACCCTATTGTGCTGTTGGACACTAGAATTTATTTTATTGAAGTGTATTTTTTTTTACCTGTTAACCTTTCCCTCTTTGTCCCTCCCTCCCTGCCACCCGTCCCAGCCTCTTAACCATCATTGAGAGAGATGCCTACTATGTAAATCTTTTTAAGATTTTCAAAAGGAACGCACACAGGGTAAAGTACTCTAACTGTAATGCAGGGTACACACAATGCACATTTTCTTTTCCCTGCTCTAACTGCTGGTCCCTCAGATCCCTGCAGAGCAGTATCCTTCCAGATGCACATAAACACACACGCCACCCTTTAAAAACACAAATCGTAGCTTATTTGACACACTGTTCTGTGCTTTGCTTTTTTCATGTAATATATCTTGGAGATATATAATCAATAAGTACTGTAGTTCTGCCTCCTTTTTTTAAAAAAATAATATTCCATCCTATGGGTGCACCATAATTTGTTTAGCCTAGCTTATGTTGCTTGCTCTGCTCTGGGTTGTTAAAGCCTCCTGAGTACACAGAGGCACACACAATATGTAAATTTAGGTGCGTACATGTGTGTGGATTAAGGGAGTAACACTGGCTTAGATGACAAAGATTGGTAGCTGAGGTACTGTTTGCCCCCTGTTCTTCCTGACCCTATAACCAACTGCTTGCCCCTTGGCACTCTGTGGCATCAGATGTGGTGTGAAGATACTCCACCTGTCCTTTGAGCTGGTCCAGTGTTGCTGGAGGGCTCTGCTCGCTGCCTCAGTCTGCAGTGGCAGCTGTGCTTTCTTATAAGCTCACCTGCATACATTCTGTGGTATCAGATTTTGGATGTTTCTTGGTTTAATCAAAGATGGGCATTTCTGTTTCCATTTTTTGTTATTTTTAGTTATCTATGGAAAGATAACAGAAATATCTTTAATATTAAAACTAGACATGTCCAGAATTCTGAAATTATTTTGCATCTTTGAAGGATCTTAAATTTTGAATATTCATCTTATCTGTTTATATTTTCTTATAGACTATCATTCATCATAATCTTACTGTTTTTTGACTTAATTCAAAAAATTTCTGAGCAATTCAATTATACAAATTAACATAAAGGATAGAGATTTCCACTGCATACTTCCCAGCAAAAAACACAGTGTTTTTTTTTTCTGTGAGATTATAAAAAGAGGTTGGTTTTCTGTACATATTTAATATATTTCATTGATTATCACTTTCTTCCCATTCTTTGGATGTAAGAGACCTGTTATTTGGCTTAAAAGTGTCTTACGTGAAACTTCATTTCTTTAGATTAGGATTTCTTAGGGAAGGGCCAGGTTAGACCCAGACTTTTCTTTTTCTTTCTTCTTTTATTTATTTATTGTTTTAGAGACAGGGTTTCTCCATTTTTTTGGTCAGGCTGCTCTTGAACTTCTGATTCCAGGTGATCTGCCCACCTTGGCCTTCCAAAGTGCTGGGATTAGTTGTGAGCCACTGTGCCTGACGAGACCCAGCCTTTTCTGAGTTACTTCTCATACATTGAAATTCTTAAAATGGAAGTTTATGTCCTACTTGCCATTGTCTTATGGGCGCCTTTGAGAGCAAGTCAGAGAGTGGTGGTTTCTCTGTCTGGCTGATGCCTATTAGTAATTTGATTTAGTCTGGATTGGGACTTTTCTGTTGAGGGCCAGAGAGTAAATGTTTTTGGCTTTGTGGATCATATATCTCTTGCAGCTACTTAGCTCTGCAGTTGTAGTGCACAGGCGGCCGTACACAATACGTAAATGAATTGCGTGGCTATATTCTAATAAAGCTTTAGTTACACAAACAGGTGATGGGCTGGATTTGGCCTGTAGGCCAGTTGCCAACCCCTAGTGTAGGTGGTCTGTTTGGTAGTTTCTTTGAGAAATGATGTGTTCTGCTCTTAGGTACTGATGCTTCTAGATGCCAGCTTTGGGTTTGAAATGGAAATGTTTGAGTTTCTAAACATCTGTCGAGTACACGGCTTTCCTAAAATTATGGGAGTTCTCACCTACCTTGACTCCTTCAAGCATAATAAGCAACTGAAGAAGACAAAGAAGCGATTAAAACACAGGTTCTGGACAGAAGTTTACCTGGTAGGAAGAGAAATAATTGTTGGATACTAACAGTATAATCCTTTAAAAATAGACTGAAGAGACCAGGTGCAGTGGCTCATACCTGTAATCCCAGCACTTTGGGAGGCAGAGGTGGGCAGATCACTTGAGGCCAGGAGTTTCCAGCTCAGGGCAATGAGGCCAAACCCTGTCTCTAATAAAAATGCAAACATTAGTCAGGTGTGGTGGTGTGCACCTGTAATCCCAGCTGCTCGGGAGGCTGAGACATGAGAATTCCTTGAATCTGGGAGGCCGAGGGTGCAGTGAGCTGAGATTGTGCCACTGCACTCCAGCCCAGTTCACAGAGTGAGACTCCATCTCAACAAAAAAAGAAAGACTGAAGAGACATTAGTAAGCTTCTCCATAGGATTCACCTCCTGAATTTCCTTTGTATGTGTGTGTTCACAGTCTCTGGAAGAGTTCCCTCAAGAGACTGCTTATTCTGGGCCTCTTGGTGCATCTCATTTGTCTCTGCACAAGGCAGTGTCTGGCTGTTTTGGGATCGGGACTTTAAATAGAGGATATCAGGAGTTTCTCACAGTTACAGGACCAGGCACTGCCCCTTCCTTTGCATACTGCTCTGGTTCATTGGCCACAGAACCGTTTCTGTGTTCAGAGGCCTGACCTCCTTCTCCTCACCATTCTTAGACACTTCTGCTTGGCTGCAGAGCAGTCTGCCTCTGTGGGGTTCTAATAAGTCCTGAAAGAAGCCAGCAAGGCTCTGGAAGCCTCAGGACAGTGGTTTGCTGGAAGTCTCCCTTCTTACGATTGCTTCTTGTTTAGAGCTTTTATTTTGTGGCAGTATTGGTAAGCATTTATTTTTTAATTTTCCCTTACTGTCTAGGGTGCTAAGCTGTTCTATTTTTCTGAAGTGGTGCATGGAGAATATAAAAACCAGGAAATCCACAATTTGGGCCGTTCTATGACAGTTATGAAGTTAGGCCTCTTACATGGCAAACTTCTCACCCTTATGTCTTGGCAGACAGGTAAAGAAAGAGTGATTGTAAACTTTTTCTTCCTGGGCCTTTAAAAAGGCTAGAAAAAGAAAAGAACAGTGATAGGATTTATTTTGTGCCTATTTGTATAGTGGGGGTAGAAGTGTAGTTGATGGAAAATGTCTACTTATTGCTCCAAGATGCTGTACCTTTGGGAGTAAATTAATTATGAGATGTTAAGGAAAATGGGAGGGCTTGGAAGCATTTAAGTCTACAGGATGTGGCCCCATCCTATGTTCAGCCTCAGTTTTTAGTGATGCTGCCTTGTGCCCGTGTGCTTGAGTTCTGCGTGTGTGCCTTCAGTTTCCTTCCTTTGTGCTCTTCCTCATGTAGCTTTCTCAACCTGGAATACCCTTTTCCACCTGCCAGAATCCACATCATAGTAAAAATCCCAGAGTACAGGCTCACCCTCTTCCAGAAAGGGATTTTCTCAATATGTTCTTCACTTTTCCCTGACCCCAAGTGAACATCTCCCTGTCTGGTTTCTTATGGAATGAATGTCATTTTCATCCTAGAGACACAGTTGTGTGTTTGTCCTTTTTCCTCTGGTGGATGGTGAAGAGTGCTTCCTTATTTCTGCATTTTCTAGTTTTCTAAACAACGTGCTTAGTGGACAAGAGTGTGATGAGTCACTGACACATGAAAGGAGGGATAGGAAGTTCTGGCATTCATTTCTGCTGTATGGCTGAGTTTGTTTTTCTGGGATGGAAGATTTGACAAACCCAGAGGATATCCGAACAAACATCAAATGTGACCGGAAGGTGTCACTTTATGGTTATTTAAGAGGAGCGCACTTGAAAAGTAAAAGCCAGATTCACATGCCAGGTATTATCTTGTTGTTAGAACATGCTAGAATTACATATAGGATTCTCGGGATGGCTTTATTTCTCAGGAAAACTGAAAAATGACCAAACAAGGGAAGATGGCCTTGCTGGAGGTTTTAAAAGTAACCCCGGTGTGTGTCGGCCTGCAACTGTGTTACCGAATCCCCGCTTCTCTGACCTCTTCTCTTGTAGCTAGAGGGGCACTATTCCAGTGTGGCACAATGCCCTTCTTTAGTGCCATGGTTTAAGCTCTTGGACTGTGGATCATTTTTACCCCTATAGTGAACAGTCGATACTGACTCGTCAGCTGAAGCTGGCTTTTTAAAAGGAGTTGCGGGTGTGCTGTATGACAAAGACGCTGTCTGTGTTGACCTTGGTGGCAGCCACAGTTTTCAGGCATCGGTGAGGCAGGTGTCATTGCTGTGAACTCTCATTCTTTCTGAATCTATTTTTTAATCACAAAAATAATGTACTCAGCTTTTATTTATTGAAGACTTTTCTCTTGTCCTTATAATAAAGGCCAAAATGCATATTGTAAATATATAGAATTTTAAAAAAACTTTTTTTTTCCATTGTACCAAGCAGAAGAGTCCTGTCCTCCATGCCTCCTTGATCCATGGTCCCAGCGCAGGCATTGCTGCCAGTGTGGTGCCTACACGGCCCATTCCCCTTTCTACAAAATCAGTGTGCTTTCCAGCTGTCATTGGTCTTTCTCTCATTCACAGTGGTCTCCTCTGTAATTTAAAGTGGGTTTCAAATATTTATTTCTTAGTTCTTAGTTCCTAGGTGAATTGTATTGTGAATTGTATAGGTTAAAATCAGGGTTACATTAAAATGTTAGAAAAACTAGCATTGTGGTTATAGCATTGGAACTGAGGTTTTTTAGATAGGTGTTTAGGTTTTTATACTCCCTGAACTTTGGAAAAGTTTAATGGAGATGGGGATCCATTTCAGGCTTTGTTGTAAAGATTTTCTTCTCTGCTTTTTGAGGCATTAAGAAAGGTTCTCAGGAAATGTGTGTAAGGTAATTTTGAGACACTGAGTGAAACCAGTGTCTCTCCAGGATCTTTGTACTTTCCTCATGTCTCCTTTCTTGGTGGTCTTGACAGGATGAGGTGGGGACCACCCATAAGCTGGTCCAGAGTCTCACTCTACCCACTCCATTATTGATGCCAAGATGGCTTCAAGATGAGTGACACCGTTTTCTGATTCCAATCCACTTGGGTCAGAGGATATAGATAATCAAGGGTAAGTCTGATTTTTTTTCTATTTTTAATAAAAGGTTATATTACAGAAATGTGTTCTGTCATCAGACAACATTTTGGTGGGATTCATTCCAGGTTGTTCCTTTTTCTTTGTGTGTGCATGTGTCTCTGAGGGCTCTTCACTTACCTGACATTACAAGGGAGTATTTCGTTGAAGTAAAATACAGGATGCATTTTTCAGCAGATCCCAAATGTTCCTCAAATACTACACCATTTTCCATAGGTTGCTTTTTGTTTTCTAAGAGACCTGAGGGGCCACTTGGCTTTCTTTTGGTGAACAAAACACTTGAGCAGAGTCAGGGAGTTTGTGGCTGTTCAGAAGCCACAAAGTTTTGTTTAGATTTTGAAAGTTTTATTTAGATTATGTTGTATTATCTCCCGTGGGTAGGTTTCCTCCGATGTATTGCTTATGTGAATTATTTTTCAGTCTGTGTTGGGAATTTGTATTCCTTTATACATAGTAGATGTTTGTAAAACATGGTTTTGTTGTATTGATTTATGACTCCCACTAAAATTTATCTGAAAAATTTGAGATTATCTAGTATGTAATTTGTTACGCTGTGCATAAACTAGCACAGTGCCTGACAGATACTAAGTGTTCGCAGAAAGATCACTCTTATAATGAGTGTTATGAGCTATTTTCATTTTTGCACATCCTTCTAGTCATTCTTGTCTACAAAAATACAGACAAATAAATCTGCCTTCTGATATAGTTACAGTTTAAATACATAATTTGTTTCTATATTCTGAGCATTTCCTTTTTCTATCCAGTGTTTATGTAGTCATCATTTTGTTCTTATTCGTGTCTGTTTGTTTGTTTGTTTTTGAGATAAGGTCTCACTTTGTCTCCCAGGCTGCAGTGCAGTAGCTTGATCGTGCTTCACTGCAGCCTTGAACTCCCAGGCCCAAGTGATCCTCCCGCTTCAGTCCCCCAAGTAGCTGGGACTACAGGATTGTGGGAGCCTTTAGCCTGTCTCTTGTGTCCTTTCAACCACTCCTGGCTAATTTTTGTATTGTTTTCTAGAGATAAGGTCTCACTATTTTGCCCAGGCTGGTCTAGAACTCTTGGGCTCAAGCTGTCCTCCTGCACTGGCCTCCCAAAGTCCTGGGATTACAGATGTGAGCCACTGTGCCTGGCCTATTATTGCTCTATTCTAACATGCATGTCTTATGGTATGATTTTTAGTTTCTTCTAATTTATGTTTTCATAATTTTATATACAGTGCTATGTTAAACAGCTTCTTGCAGTTGTCTTTCATCCTGTGATTTTAGCCTCCCGATGATTCTTTGCTATCAGTCATGGCACTGGTGACTTAAAATGGATGTTCTTTGTCTGTCTCTCCTCTTAGGTTTGTTAGCTGGCATTTTTAACAAAGAGCTTTCACTTCTCCCCTTTATTTCAGTACCACTGCTGACTAATGCACTTGCGTTTTATTCCATGGTTTATTTTCCATTAGTATCATTATTCTTTCTGTTGCCTAAGCTGTCCCGGATTCAGCTGTGGGAGCCTTCAGCTGGTCTCCTGTGTCCTTTCAACTGTCTCTGTTAGTCTTTGAGCGTTTCTTACTTTCTGACAGAAAAAGAGGATCCAGGCTCATTTTGCCCTCTTTCTGCTTTGGGCCTGGACTCAGCCATTTCTCTTAAGAATCATGTGTTTTAGCTTAGAAATTAATCAGCTTTCCAAAAGATCTACCAAACACTAACTTCCCTTTAGAGCAAATCTTCTCTAAAATTAGACCTTTTTTTTATTTTTTAAAAGAGGGTTATTCCTTTATTCTCTCTGTAAGTTCTTTTGAAGTGTGGTATTAGGGAACCACACCTGAGTTTGCTTATTAACTCTTACAGTGTTTATCACATCATTTTTTTCTTACATCATCTTATACAATTCCTTGACATTTTCTATTTCTTTGTATTTTCATCGACTATATTGCCATTTCTAGATTAACTGATTAAGGTACGATTTGAATTATTTTGCATTTCCTTGGTAATAATATAGGCTGTTGATGCCAAAGGAGGAAAAACAAATGGACTTGAAAACTGGTCGAATGCGTCGGAAAGCCGTTTTTGGTGATGAAGATGGATCTGGAGATAGTGACGATGAAGAAGGTGATGAAATGTCTGAAGATGACGGGTTGGAAAACGGCTCGAGTGATGAGGAAGCAGTAGAGGAGGAAAATGCTGAGGTGACTGAGGAGTGTATGACTGCTAAGGGCGTCAAACGACGGAAACTTGAGGAGTTGGAAGAAGACAGTGAAGTAGATTTGCCAGCATTTGCTGACAGTGATGATGACCTTGAGAGGAGCTCAGCAGAAGAAGGGGAAGCGGAGGAAGCTGATGAAAGCAGTGAGGAAGAGGACTGCTCTGCAGGAGAGAAGGGCATTTCAGGATCAAAGGCTGCTGGAGAAGGTAGTAAAGCAGAGCTGTCACCAGCTAATCACCAGAGTGACCGTGTGAATCTGGAGAAGTCTTTGCCAATGAAGAAAGCAGCCCTCGGCTGGGCGCCATGGCTCGCGCCTGTAATCCCAGCACTTTGGTAGGCCAAGGTAGGCAGATCACAAGGTCAGGAGTTTGAGACCAGGCAGGCCAATATGGTGAAACCCTGTCTCTGATAAAAACACAAAAACTGGGGGTGGTGGTGGACACCTGTAGTCCCAGCTACTGGGGAGGCTAAGGCAGGAGAACTGCTTGAACCTGGGAGGCAGGGGTTGCAATGATACGAGATTGTGCCTTTACACTCCAGTCTGGGTGATGGAGTGAGATTCTGTATCAAAAAAAAACAAAAAACAAAAAATAGAAAGCAGCCCTCACCACTTCCAATACTGGGCATTACACAGCTGAAGAGGCGTTTGCATCTGAAGATGAATCTGAAGAAAGCTCCTCACTCAGTGCAGAGGAAGAGGACTCAGAAAATCAAGAGGCTCTTAGGAAAAAGCTTTTGAAGCCTTCTGAGGTGGGCAGTGGTCAGAAACTGGGGTCGAGGAACTTAATTGATGAGACCAGTGATACAGAAGATTTACTCAAAGAGGAAGAAGATTACAAGGAAGAAAGGAATGATCCCACAGAAACCTCAGGTAAGCTTCAATTTAGTTGTTTGCTACTATGAACTTGACTCTCGAAATAGTACCCAAAGGAATGTCTACATTTGGGGGTCTGTTGATTTTAAGATTTTGTTAACTGTTGAGATGCTGCATTGTGGATGGTCCAGAGGGAGGGGAGACACATAAACAAGCCTCATTGGAGGTTGGCGTTGGTCATTTCAGGTGCCCTCAAGTGAAAGGAAGACCTTTCCAGAAAGGCAGCTGAGGCCTTTCTGAGGCAGCAGCAAGCAGCTCCAAACCTCCAAAAGCTTATTTATGGGACAGGTAAAGAACTCTGGTTCAGAGCTGGAAACGTTTCAGTTTCTCTGATTATTTTCTGAAAAGGAGGTGAGAGTTGGTTGGAGGATTGGGGTGGTATTGTTGACATCCATCATTGCTGGCCATCACATTTCCTATTTATGTCTTTAATCATCAGCTTATGAGGAACGCACACTGGTCTTGTGAAGTAAACTTATGGGTTTGCTGTAAAACTTGATGCAAATACTGTCCATTGTATCATGTTATGTCCCCATTGAAAAGTCCTTCATGAGAAAATTTTTGGTAGAATTTAATGCCAGAAAAATATTTTTTTTGTTTATGAGAATAACTCTGTGCAACACATTTTGCCCTTGTCCTCTGATTTTATGCTTTATTAAACTTTCCTATATGTTCTTTGTGGTAGAATTAATGCAAAAATAAATTTATAGTTGTGACCTTTATATTGTGCTCCCTGGTTACTGCACAATGAGATCAAGGCCACATGATGAGACATTTGGGCTCAGCATACTGAAATGGGAGGGTTGTTGTGTAGTGATTTTTATTCAGGTTTTATCTAGGTGCTCTTCGTAACGAGAGGCTAAACACTCTTTAAAGCTCTTCTTTATAATCTAAAGCTCTGCCTTTAAATGTTCCTTTCCTCCCTTACCCTAATATTCTCAATCCTTCTCAACCACTTAGCTGCTGCCATGCAGGAGCGCAGGAGCCCCCACACATGTAGAGCAATAGCTTCCTGGCCTCTCTTCACCTGTGGCTGACCTGCCCTCTCAGTGCTTGACTCATATGTGGCCATTGCCATACCCCCCACAGACAGAGACCCTCAGTTCCTGAGTTCCAAGACTCATGGCTTAAATTGTTGGAAACAATGAGTCCTTAGGGCTGTAAGTGTTTTTTTCTTTCCTCACTTTTCTGCCATGGTGTTCTCTTTAGTGATAGACGATAACGAAGAAGATGATGATGATACCCGAGAAGAGCTTGGAGGGCTACTTCGTGTCAACCAGCCTGACAGAGAGTGTAAGCAGAAGGCTGCCTCTTTGGACTGCTCCAGATTTCTTGTCGAGGCGCCCCATGACTGGGATTTAGAGGAGGTAAGGGGATGGTACGTTTGATTTATCAGAGAATTAGAGAATTGTTCTAGAATAAGATGATCTGATGTCAATATGGCTTACCTGTTGTTGGCTTCCTTTTTTTTTATAGGATGACAGGTCATCTAGATATTGTAGTGGGCACTTCATCCATCCTAAGCAATAACAGTTTCTGAGTTTAGTTAGACCATGTGCACAGCCCATGGAGGACAGGTTTCCAGTGTGGACAGTAGTGTAAATCTTTATTTTGAAGCATCACACATAAGTTTTTATACATCTGATGTATTTTGCATCTTATCACTAGGATATACGTAGCATCCCTGAGTTAACATTTATAGTTTCTGCTATTTGTAAGCGTACAGAAATCTGTGATACCCATAAATGTTCTTGCATCTCACCACTTTGTAGTCATACTGGAATTCATTCAGTATTGAAACTTGCCACAGCTTACCCTCCTCTTAGACTTTTTCTCTTTCACTCTCTCTTTATTTTTTTTTTGAGACCGGTCTTGCTCTGCATTCTGGGCTGGTGTGCAGTGGCACGATGGTATGGCCCAATGGAGTCTCGACCTCCTGGACTCAAGGGATCTTTCTACCTCAGCCTCTGTAGTAGCCAGGACTATAGGCATGAGCTACCAGGCCTGGTTAATTTTTGCATTTTTTGTAGAGACAATGTTTCACCATGTTGAGCTAGAGTCTCGAACTCTGGGCTTGAATGATCTTCCTGTCTTGGCTTCCCAGAGTGCTGGGATTACAGGAGTGAGCCATCGCATCAGCCCCTTTCTCTATATTCTCTTCTGGAATGTTCTGATCTTCCAAAGGCTGCCTTTTTTTTTTTGTCAATTCATCTTGGCTTTGATGTCACTTCTCCTAGAGGCCTAATTGCGCTCATCTTGCTTGTTATAATTGGCCAGGTAATAATGCACTTTATGAGATTTTATTGAACCATCGTTGATGGTGAAATTTCATATATCTATAGAAAACCATGTAAAAACAATTGTTTAACTTTATGGGTTGCCAGAAGGTGAGTACCCCTGTACTCAGCACTCAGGCTGGGAAACCTAGCCTTACTGCTTGATTGCGACACCAGCCACAGTCCTCTTCCTCCCTGTAGAAGGAGGTGTGGTCCAGTCCCTTGTGGTGATTCTTTCCTTTTCTTCCGGGTTTCCTCCTCCATGCTTCCATAAGCATCAAGTTTACTTTTACTTGATTTTCATGACTTTTTTAGTCTCTCTTTTAAAATTTTTAGTCAACAATCTTCCTTCCCATTTCTTTTTTTGGTTACATTTTATTTAAGAAACCAAGTCTTTGGTCTGTAGAGTTTCTTATATTCTGGATTTTGTGGATTACTTTGCATCCCTCTGCAGTTTCTCAGACCCTCCTGTATGTCCTGTGAATGGGTATGGAGCAATACTGATAGAACTTCTGTGGTGAGCAGAATGTATATCTGAGTTGTGGGTTGTGGCTACTTGTGGCTACTGAACACTTTAAATGTGGCTAGTGAGTCTGGAGACCTAAATTTTAAATTTTGTTTCATCTTAAATAAGAACAATTTGAATAGCCACGTGGTTCTAGTTACCCGATGGACAAAACATCTGGCAGTTGGATAGGATTTAAATTTGATTTTTATTTTTCAGCAAACGTCTTCCTAGGTGGTGGTGTTTTCTTATTAGGAGGCATATAAAGACCAGTTGTGTCCTTTTAATGGTGTTAGATGGAGACATGGTCTCATCTGCCATACACTGCCATACACTGGGGCAGTGGCCAGTGATTTGGACTTTGTGGCATAGATGGAAATGTTTAGGTTTTCTAGGTGGTGGGCAGAAGTCTCACTTTTTAAGGAACTCCCTAACTTCACCCCTGCCAGTGAAGACACCGCTTGAGGATACTCCTATCAGTGTTAAGTAGAAGAAATCATTTCTCGATGTTGAATTTCAGGCAAGGAAGCTAGCTCCTGCATATCAGGGTGGTGTTGCTTGGGCTTAGACAGGTCTAGACAGCTCGATCTGAAAAGGGGCTCAAGGAAGTAGCTGTGAAAGGCCCCTGTGATTTTTCTGCTCCTTTCTCTGCAAATCCCCTGGAAGAAGATCCTGTTAGTTACTATGGGTATGGGTGTGTGTGTGTGTGTGTGTGTGTGTTTGTGTGTATGTTTATCACTTGTTTTTGTTTTTATTCTTCTGCATAAAGTCTACAGGAGGCTTGCCAATAGTACCTTGATGTTTTCTGAAAGCAGAGCCAATGTGCACACTCTAGGGCCTGAGGCCTCAATTCTGTGGTATTTCCTGAGGACTGGTGTGTACCTGCAGACCATGTGATGGGGTTCAGGGCCAAGGAACAGTAGTTTCTGTGCCCTGTTGCTGTGTTAAAAAGACATTTCATTCAACTGGATAACAGGCCAAGTCTGGTGGAGAAGAGGTCTACTCTGCCATAGGATGCGGCAGCAGCCTGCAGTTTATAACACTGTTGTGTGTCTGGAAATTTCCAGGGCTTCCAGTTGCTGGTAGAAGGCCAGAAGGTAGGGCACATTTGTCTGCAGACCAGAGAAGGGGTTCTGCTCATCCCGACATGATCGTGGCCATGTGCGGACTCTTGAATTTGCAAGGTTGGATGTCCTGACTGACACTGCCATAGGAGGACATAAGAGGCTAAGGGTGACACAACTGTAGGCTGCGCAGATGATGTTCACAGAGAGCTAGCTTCCTTGATGCCTGTGACAAGAGGAAAGATTGAAATGCTTGGGGGTGGGAAGAGGCAACAAAAACCTACAGAATCTGTTGTTCTCAGTTCATCTCCCATCCTACACCAATCGTGTCCTAACATCCTTAGCTACCAATCACAGAGGAGACAGTGCATTTGTGTTCATGTGGCCTTGGATGCTGGCAGATTCAGACTGGTGTCCCAGGCATCTGTGCCTGTGATTGCAGTTTCAATGGGCTCAGGACGAAGTTAAAGGGCCTCCAAGCTTCCTCCAGTTTCAGGGTGCATGCATGTGCAATATACTCCCCTGGCCTGGGTCTTTCCTGCCTCTTCTTGCCAGGTGGGTCAGATCTAGCTCATTTAAGCAGCATTTTCTGAGCTTTAATAGAACTGGCTCAGACCAGTTGGAGACTTTTTAAAAGACATTATTATTTTAGAGTAGTTTTAAGTGTACAGCAAAATGGAGTGCAGACTCCAAAGTTCCCATATGCCCTCGATTCATGTACACTCTTGGGTCACTCCACTAACAACGTCCTACAACAGAGTAGAATATTTATTATAGTTAGTGAACTTACATTGACACATCCTCATCACCCAGAGCGACAGCCTTGGTGGTGCACATTCTGAGGGTTTGCAGAAATACATAACGAGAATGAAATGTATAATGAATGTATCATTATACCTGTTATAATGTCCTACAGTTTATTTTCATTACTGTAATTATCCTGTGGTCTATTTATTTGTCCTTTTTTTTTCCTAACCACTGGAAATCACTAATCTTTTCAGCTCCGTAGTTTTGCATTTTTCTGAATGTTATGTTCTTGGAATCATAGAATAGGTAACTTTACAGATTGGCTTTTTTCAGTTAGTAATGTGCATTTAAGACTCCTCAGTGTCTTCTGATGGCTCAGTAGCTCATTTATTTTTAGAAGTAATTAATATTTCATTTTTTAAATATGCTACAGTCATATTTATCAGTTAAGCTACTGAAGAACAACTTGGTTCCTCCTAGGTTTTGGCATCTGTTTTAAAAAGTGTTCAGGTTTTTACATGGACATAAACTCTGGTCATTTGGACAAAGATCTAGGGAGTGCAACTGTTGCATCACATATGACAGTATGTATAGTTTTGTAAGAAACTGCTCATATTAGGAGAGTCTTTACCGTGGTAGAGGAGAACATGTTTTTTTTTTTTTTTTTTTTTTTTTTTTTACGGAGTTTCCCTCTTGTTACCAAGGCTGGAGTGCAATGGCGCGATCTCGGCTCACCGCAACCTCCGCCCCCTGGGTTCAGGCAATTCTCCTGCCTCAGCCTCCTGAGTAGCTGGGATTACAGGCACGCGCCACCATGCCCAGCTAATTTTTTTGTAATTTTAAGTAGAGACGGGGTTTCACCATGTTGACCAGGTTGGTCTCGATCTGCCGACCTCGTGATCCACCCGCCTCGGCCTCCCAAAGTGCTGGGATTACAGGCTTGAGCCACCGCGCCCGGCCGGAGGAGAACATGTTAACATACTGAAGAATCAGTCCAATGACGGAGATAGAACTTGAGGCTCTAGAAAGAATGATGTAACCATGAGAGCTGTTAAAAGATACAATTCAGGCACATTCAAACATTAGGCATGTTGAGCTTCCAGAAATGTACAAATCAGGCAGCCCCTGGCTGCAAGCAGCTCTGAGCTCCAAAGGAGAGGCTTGGGGAGTGGGGGAAACACTTTTACATGGTGAATGTAGAGGAAAAAGAAAATGCTTGATTGGGTAAAGTGGAGCAATGGCCTCATTTGGATCATTACAGAGGGAAGTCTCTAGTTAGATATTAGTTGGTGGTTTCTGATGGGTTAAGCTTAAGTTTCATTTTACTGTTTTCACTGAGTCAAGTTTTGGTTTGTTTAAGGAGGAACTGAGCACACAGGAGCCAACTCAGCCTCATGGCCACCAGTTTATCTGATTATTTTTAACAGAGAAGATTCTTTTAAAAATATCTGTTGCCCGGCCTGGAGTGCAGTGTTGTGATCACTGCTCATTGCAGCCTCAACCTTCCAGGCTCAGGTGATCCTGCCACCTCAGTGCTCCCAGCCCTGAGTAGCTGGGACTACAGACATGTGCCACCATACCACCATG